TTTAGAAATTCCATTTATTATTTTCTGGGAGTTATTGGCATACTATGCTTATGTAAGCATTTATTCATCTTTTCAACCAGCAGTCTCCAACCTTTTTTGGCACCAGGGACTGGTTTCCTGGAAGACAAATTTTCCCTGGGGTTGGTGGGGTAGATGGTTTGGGGATGAAACTGTTCCACCTCAGATCATCAGGCATTAGATTCCCATAAGGAGGGTGCAACCTAGATCCCTCACAAGCACAGTTCACAATAGGGTTTGTACGCCTATGAGAATCTAATGCAGCTGCCAATCTGCCAGGAGGCAGAGCTCAGGTTACAATGCTCACCTGCCCTCTGCTCACTTCCTGCTGTGTGTCCAGGTTCCAAACAGGTCACAGATGGGTACCAGTCCATTGCCTGGGGGTTGGGGACCTTTGTCTTAAATCAATCAGAACCGAACTCCTTTAATGCAGGAGATTTCATAATCTAAGTTGTTAACACCCTCTAGATTTAGGAAAGCATTACACATTCATACAATGACAGGGAAAGACTTTTCTGAATTACAAACATGCAGACATAGAGTTTATAGCTTTAATTCTAAAATTTCACTCATGGATCAAGAATAAACACAGAAGCACAAAAAAAAAAATTACCAATTCAGATATCAAAGAGCTGTTCCTCTTCCTGGTGGGCATAATATTCTTAATTGATTTAAGCCCAAAATGGACAAAAGGCATATAAACAATACTAATAAACTAGTTTCTCTATAGTCTCTCACCCAACAGAGACTAGATCTCTATAAATATTAATCCATTCACAGAGCTTACTAAATGATTAGACCATGACCCAAAATTCCCAATTATTGTTTCCACCCAGTACAGCAGATGCACTGGCTGGAAGCAAAACAAAGACAAACCACAAACTTTATTAATAGAAAAAAAATATTAAAATTAGAAAAACGGAGTCACCAAAGTTCCATTGTGATTTGGCAGCCAAGAAAAAAATGTATTTGGGCTTTAAGCAGCCCACAGGCTAGCCTGGTAAAACGTATATCTGGTTTTGTTAGATGAATCCAATAGACAGCTCATTGGAAGATCTCTAACTTTTAAAAACACAATTTTTTTAAAAAGTGGATAAAATCATGCCTCTCATACAGATAAAAAAATGAACACATGTTAAAGATTTTATTTATCATGAATCAATGCAGAAACATAGCAGATGTCACAACTAGTTCAAAAGAGAAATTAAAAAATTACGTGTAATAAAGGAAGGTTGAATGTGCAAATGGAAGCAAAACTGGGTTCCTCCACAGTGGTGAAGAGAAGTCAATTGAACTTCCAGTCAGGAGAGAATTTGCACAGCTATAAACAGAAAGTATTAACTGCCATGAGTTATCTACAATCTACAGAGTTGTAAAATAGCTTCCATAGAATGGGAATCAGATTTTGTTTTTTCCAAACAATTCAGTTTTCTACCTGGGCACTAGTTTTTTTCCATACAAATAACATCTATTTGTAAATAACATTTTTCCGAAATGTTATTTCAGAAAAGAGGATGAGTGTATATAGAGTTAAATTTATAGTAATTACAATAAATTAAGAAGTTCCTCTCTGACATGGTTTTTTCCCTACCAAAAAAACAGAACATGAGGTTTATCTTCTACACATTAGGGAACTGGTTGCCGTGAAAGGGCTCCAAGCACCAAAATATCTCACATCAGCTTCACCAGAGTGACTTTCTCATTTCATTAAAAGTAGCCATTACAATACAGATAGGTCGTATGGGTGATATGCCAGATGGTCCTCTGAATACATTGGCATAGGTCAATCCTCTGGAAACTGTAAGAAGTTGGGTCTGGGAATCTATCACTAAGAAAGCTTGAGAAATACTGTTCTAGTATATTTTAGTTTGTGGAGTTAGTTAGCAGAGCCCTGAAGAAATAAAGCCCAGACTGGTGTGTCTTTAAATATCCTTGCCATTGTAAGTGGGACATTTAGGAGGAGTCTTGGGGAGCCAGTGGGTGCATTATGAGGGAAGGAAGTGTGGCCATAAAAGGAAGCCAATAGCAAAGAAAGCGGCCTGGTGGTGAACTTGAAACAAGCTTCACCTGATGTAGTGTGTCTGATGGAAAACAAAGAAGAAAGAAAAGAAAGAAGGGTGCTGACAAGCCCAAAGAAGATCTTACAAAGGCTGAGAGCTCACAGGAGGCATGGAGAGAAACAGAGAAGCAGAGAGAGAATGCAAAAAGATATCTCACAGACACTCTGGCAATTAAATCAGAATCTCTTGCCAGGCACAGTGGTGTGCATCTGAAAACCCAGCTACTTGAGAGGCTGAGGCAGGAGGATCACTTGAACCCAGGAGTTCCAGAGCAGCCTAAGCAACATAGTGAAGACCCTGTCTAAAAACAACAAAAACAACAAAGCCAGAATCTCCAGGGGAGGACTCAGTCACTTGTATTTTTAAAAGCTCTTGTGATTGCAACCTGCCGACCAGGTTGAACCTTTGTTCCCCACCTGGAGTTCACCAATTTCACACCAGGTGACGCTGGTCATTGATGCTGTGGTTCTAAATGACTCATCTGTTCCTTGCTAAAGAGGATGTGAGGATTTAGGATGAGTTTCTTCTTCTTTTTAATTAGAGCAAAATTCCTGAAGAGGAAATGACCTGTGGTTTTTTACTTTCAATTGTGTCACATCACTGAATGTGCCCTTTCTGTGAGTAAAAAGAAAAAGAACAAGGTCAGCTTTCTACATAGTGTGTGCTGTTTTGTTGCAGTCAAATGAGCAGAACTCAGAAACATAATTGTAAAATGGCAGGCTTTATCTTTTTCTTTGTAGTTTACTGCAAATAGTATGACCTCGTAATACTACAAGTGGTGCAGTAAAAAGAGCAATGAATTTGGCATAAGAAGATGGTAGGACCAGTGGCCAATCTTGCCCAGGGAGGTCACTACACTTATATCAGCCTCAGTTTCCTCTTCCAAAAAATAAGATACATCTCTTTGGATCTAAAATGTCATTCATTGCGAAATGCACCATAGTTTTACATGTCACAAAGAAAAGGTAGTTGTTTTATTTCAGTTAATGTAAATAATGAAAATTATGTTTATTGATGAGTTCAAATGTTCCAGAATATAAAAATAAAACATTTGTCTCATTGAAAAAATCCTTTAATTTCTTAAAGCCAATTTGTTAATAACGCCTATTAAGCAAAGCTCATGGTGAGGGTGGGGGGCCAGAGCGCGGTGACTCACGCCTGTAATCCCAGCACCTTGGGAAGCCGAGACGGATGGATCACCTGAGGTCAGGAGTTCGAGACCAGCCTGGCCAACATGGTGAAACCCCGTCTCTGCTAAAAATACATAGACGGGGTATGGTGGCACAGGCCTGTAGTCCCAGCTACTTGGGAAGGTGAGGCACGAGAATCACTTGAACCTGGGAGGTGGAGGTTGAAGTGAGCCAAGATCACACCACTGCACTCCTGCCTGGTTGACAGAGTGAGGCTCCCGTCTCAAAAAAAAACTCAATCCTTCTCAAATGAGTCAAATCATACAAAATATTATTTACTTAAATAGCCACCTACCTCATAAATTTCCTATAAAGATTTGATAAAGAACACTATTTCCTCCTAAAAAAAAAGTGATTGGAAATTCACAGATACTTAACCGCGGGTACGAATACCAGAGTTGTTTTTGTCAAAATGCAAATACGGGATCTTAAATAGTTTTGAGTTTAGCAGAAGCCAATAGGGTTTTAATGTTGCAAGTGTGCAGTGTGAAGACATGCTGAACTCAAAAATGTTTAAGATCTCCTATTTGCATTTGGCAAAAACAACTTTAATCTAGCCTAAGAAAAGTAATTTCCTAGAACAAGTAACCCAACAACTATGGAAAGCACCTGGTCATAGGATCAAATGATCCAGAGACTCAAGTGGTATCAACACTCTTTCCTAATTTATTTCCCTGATCTTATTATTCTCTCAATCTCTCCCAGGGGATACAGAACTTAGCCACCATAGGCCATGGGGTTACATCCTTATAACTCACAAACTCACAATGTTTGTTTATAAACATTGGTTAATGGGTACAAAGCTACAATTAAAGAAGAGGGAAAAAATTCTGATATTCTATTGCACAGTAGGGTGAAGACGGTTAACAGTAAAATTTTGTATACCACAAAATAACTAGAAGAGAGGCTACTGAATGTTCTCACCACAGAGAAAGGATAAATGCATGAGATGGTGGATACATTACCCTGGTTGGATCGTTATACAACATAGATATGTATCGAAACATCAAATTGCACCCCGTAAATATGTACAATTACAATGTGTCCTCAAAACAAAACAAAAAGCAAGCAAACCACCAGACCAGACCTTCTACTTGGATATTGTTCATGGGTGTATCCTAAAACCATTAAAGGAAAGATTTCTGGGAAACTTTATAGTGTGAGGGGTCAGACGGCTGACCACCTGCACCCACAGGTTAGGGGTAGGCATCACTCACACCGGGACAGCCAGCAGATACACGACTCTCGCTGAGGTGCAGTAAGCACACACCCTACCACTGTTTGAAGCCCTGCTGGCTTCAAAACAAAACACAACACAACTGAACCAGAATCGAATGAGTCCATCACCCCTAACTATAAATTTTCAAGAAACATGGAGGCTAGAGAAACAAGTTAAACGACACTATCCGTAAGTAATGGGCCAAATCCCAAGATCTGTGACATTCCACAGGGCAAATATCCCTCAGTATATGAATGACATGAAGAAAAACGAGGCGAGGGCAATTAGAGGACAACAGAGACCCAGGGTGGTAGCAACCAAATACAACGTGGGACCTTGTTTGAATCTTTGTGACAATTCGACTGTAATAAGGAATTTCTGAAATAAGGAAATTTGAAAGTAGACTGAATATTAGGTGCCATTAAGGAATTAACTTTTCTAGGTGTGATAATGGTAGGTTAATTACTTTTTTAAAAAAAATTACTCGTCAGAGGAAGTTTATGGTGAAACGACCTGTTCTAAAGGTGTCGCGCCGACCCCGGGCCGGCCCTCCCGGTGCCGCAGGAGCCTCGTTATCAAGGTGTCTCCAGCTCGCCTGGGCGCTGGACCCCGCCGCGCGGTCCGAGGCGGCCGCAGCGTTGGTAGCTCCCGGCATGCTCCGCGGGCTGAGCTCCACGGCAAGAGAATTCAAAGCCGCGGGCCTGGGTTCCACGCGGGGCCCCTTACCCAAGGTGCCCCGGGCGCTCATTTGCATGTCCCACCCAACAGGTAAACCTGACAGGTCAGTCGCGGCCGGGTACGGCCTGGCGGTCAGAGCACCAAACGTACGAGCCTTGTGATGCGGTTCCATTGCATGAAATTCTCCTAAAGGCCCCAAGATGAACGGGAAAGCGCGCGGTTCGCTCACCGTAACTAAAACAGGTGAGAGACTCCCGTGCCTTATAAGGCCTGTGGACGGAGGCAGTTGCGTGCTCGCTTCGGCAGCACATATACTAAAATTGTGAACGATACAGAGAAGATTAGCATGGCCCCTGCGCAAGGATGACACGCAAATTCGTGAAGCGTTCCATATTTTCGCGGTTCACGAAGGTTGCTGGACAAGACACGGTGGTGTTTGTGGAGGCTGTTCAAGATTTCTCTGGACCTGCGTTTTCCTGCTCGCGGACTTAGCCTAGTGGACATCTACGACGCTGTCTGGGCCTCCCACCGGTTCTGTCTCCCGGTGGGCTCCCTTCCTCCACAGCCTCCATCTTCAAGGCGCCCAGTCACGTTACTATTAAGTTACCCAGGTGATCCTCCTATCTGCATCCAAATACTTGTTTTCATTGAGTAAAATATGCTTTCAGGCTGGGCAATGAACATTCCTCCTAATCGAATTTCCCATCACAGAATCTGTCCGATTTATGTAAACCGGCCTTTCTAAGTACTTCTTAGAGGATACATGAAAACAGAAGACTCGTGAAAACAGATCCAGAATGGCCTTGCTACTTGTGGCCAGTATTCAAATGGGTCCTGGAGCTCTTAAATCTATAGGCAAAGGCCAACATTGACCTCCAATAATACCAGTCCTTAGTAGCATTCCTTTCCTTTGTGCAGCTCGCAGTCTAAGAGAAAAAGGATGTAAGCACTCAGGTCTAAAATGATGGAGAATGGCACAAAGTAGGCGCCAGAAATGAGCGCTAACGTTTCCTTCCTTTAGTAGAGATTTATTAGTTTAGGAAAGATTTAGTAAGGAGTCATTGAACAATTCATATGCCAGGTGGTCTTCTATTGAACAAAAGCCAAACAAGCTGGGGCTCTGGAGTTTGTGTTGTTTGGGGAGACAAGACCGTAAGTCTATTTCAGAATGAAAAGTTCAATGAAGAAGGCACAAGGTGACCTTTCTCCATTTCCAAAATGCGCATTAACGATATATTCGCACACGACATTCCACGGGTGACTCTGCTCCCTTCCCACTTCATAGATCTCCTTACACAAGTTTTTTGTAATGAAAACCACAATTTCGTCATTGGGTGCCACCCATTTTTGCTTAGATTCACACTATTTCCTTAGTGCTAGTTAGCAGATATTGAAATGATTATCGAAGACTACGCAAAAATATGGAACGCTTCACGAATTTGCGTGTCATCCTTGCGCAGGGGCCATGCTAATCTTCTCTGTATCGTTCCAATTTTAGTATATGTGCTGCCGAAGCGAGCACGCAATTGCCTCCGTCCACAGGCCTTATAAGGCACGGGAGTCTCTCACCTGTTTTAGTTACGGTGAGCGAACCGCGCGCTTTCCCGTTCATCTTGGGGCCTTTAGGAGAATTTCATGCAATAGAACCGCATCACAAGGCTCGTAAGTTTGGTGCTCTGACCGCCAGGCCGTACTCGGCCGCGACTGACCTGTAGGTTTGCCTGTTGGGTGGGACATGCAAATGAGCGCCCGGGGCACCTTGGGTAAGGGGCCCCGCGTGGGACCCAGGCCCGGGGCACCTTGGGTAAGGGGCCCCGCGTGGGACCCAGGCCCGGGGCTTTGAGTTCTCTTGCTGCGGAGCTCAGCCTGCGGAGCATGCTGGGAGCCTGGCAGTCCGTGCGGCAGCAGTGGAGCGCGGAGGACCGCGCCGGTCTGGAGCGCTTGGCGTCTCTCCGAAGCCTCTCTGGGAGCTAGGGAGGCGGCTGGCCCGCTAGGTCACTAGGTCCAGCAGGGGTCCTCCCCAAAACATGGAAATTTTCACCGATATTTCGCCAGTGACACTGGGGCCTTGTGCCAACAGACTTTGCCGAAGTGAGCCCAGAGTTCAACTCTCTGGGAGAGTCCTTACAACGACTCGACCACTCAGTTCTGGAGCGGTCGGCACCACGTTCTAAGCTGCCGTGGACTACACTGGCATCTGCGTGACTGTCTCCTGCCGGTGTGCACAGGCGCCCGTCGGGTCGGGAGCTGAGGACTTGGACAGGGCGGCCACACCGCTCTAGTACAGCAACTCCTCCGTCCATTCTGCGCAGGGGCCTCTGGGGTCAGGGGACGGAGGAGCCCGGGCGAGTAGCCACGCCCCTTCACAGGTGTCTTCCCTCGACCGCTACTTTCGCCCCTGGCAGCCAAACACAGGAACGCTGAAAAACAGGCTGAGAGGTGAATTTGAGGAATTACATCGTTCCCTTAGAGTTGAACTGGAGAAGCATTCTTGTACGTCCTTATACCTCCCGGCACTCTAATCCTAACCCTGTTAGAATACAAACGTACAGGACAGACCTACTGTCAAGAAATACTCTGTTAGTGTTAAATATTCTCATTTTTAACTACAGCAAAAATCATACTGTTCAAGTCATATCCCTGAGCGTTGTGAGATGAGGGCCAAAGATCAAAGCCTCTGGTATTTATTTGGTTACAGTATTTCATATATTGAAGTAAGTGAAGGGCAAATGTTTGCCTGTGTTGCGTTAAAACGACACCTTGAATGAGGACTATGGCACATTTACCAATAACTGGAGTTTTGCTGCTTTTTCTCCTTCCTCTGGTCGTTTTACCCCTTCCTGAAAACAGTATTTTTAAGTAGAAACCTACTAAAAATCAGTAATTGAGAAAAATTTTAATTGGTATCCAATTTTCTGATGTATCAAAAGAAAATAGTGTGAAATCATACGAGTTTCTGGTATTGCTGAGCCAAAAACAGAAAAAGGAACAGAAAGGTAAGCCCACAGGAATTATTGCTAAGCCTATCTTTTTCCGTGTTTGTGGTTGTAATTCTTTTCTTTCACAGCTTTTGAAAAGTAATAAAAACACTATTTGAGGTATCCCTCAAAAAAATTAGGCAAAAACGACATTCCTGTTGAGTTAAATTGCCCAATTACAAATCAAATGTGGTTTGATATATTTCTCATAATGCTGTCTTTCCAATAAGCTGTTTCTGCTTTGTGACTTCAAAGCTAGGAAGCAGTAAATCGATGTTCAATTTTATGATTTGAAGAAGAATATAAAAATTCTTTCATGTTCTCTCTTTAAAACCTTACAACTAATCAGCTTATTAAAGGATACATGGTCAGAAGAATCTATAGTTAGAAGGACGATCAGAGTTACAGGGTCATGAACTTGATGTCCCTACAAGCTATATGGGCCTTCAGAGTTAAGCTGCATTCCCAGATGACTACTTATAAACTCTTTCCATTCTGAAAAGAGGGAAAAGACTTAGCACATACAAGAAAAAGAAATGTTTGAAGGTTGGCAGGAGATAAATCCATTGGGGAAAAAAAATCTTTACAAATGGTTGTAGGCCTGGTGAAGTCCCAGAGTTTTGTGAGGCCAAGGTGGGAGGACCCCTTGAGACCAAGTGTTCAAGACCACATGGGCAACTTAGTGAGACCCCAGCCTCCCTATCTCTCTCTCTATATAGAGAGATATCTCTATATATAGATATATAGAGATAAATATAAATATATATTATATATGTTTATATAGATATGTTTATGTATTATATTTCTATATATAGATCTATATTTCTAATCTTCAGGTATATACACCCAATATATACCTCTCTATATCTATAATTATACACCCAGTATATCTATATATAAATGTATAGATACTTACAGCGATGTAAGTAATTGGGCATACATATATCGACATTTGTGTGTAATTAGGCAATTTAACTCAACAGGAATGTCGTTTTTGCCTAATTTTTTTGAGGGGGAAAGAACATATTGTTTTTATTACTTTTCAAAAGCTGTGAAAGAAAAGAATTATAACCACAAACACAGAAAAAGACAGATATATCGATATATCTATATATCTGTACGTATATCTACATATATATAGATATACTGGGTGTATATTTATATATAGAGAGAGAGAGGTATATACTGGGTGTATATACCTGAAGATTACCTGAAGTTAGTTTAATTATTAAGACAATTCTTAAGCTATTTTTAAAGTTTCAGTCTTGAATTTATAGTTAGACCATTGGAGATAAAGAAGAAACAAGGCTTCTCATTGTGTTTTATTTATATCTGTGTGGGACTCTGTATACTGGAGATATATATATATCATGCCCAGTGGCATGCTCCTATAGTCCTAGCTATTTGTGAGACTGAAGATAGCTTTAGCCCAGGAGTTCAACGCTGCAGTGAAGTATGATCAAACTGCTACACTGCAGCCTGGGTGACAGAGTGAGAACACTGTCAGTAAAAAAAAAATAATAATAATAAAGTAAGTTGTTTTAAATGCTCAGATGTGTACAGAAATAATATGAAAACTTAATTTTAGAGTTATGGCATTACTGAACAATGTAATGTTAAAAGAGCTAAAACAATTTCTCACAGGTGACTTATATATGTCCTCTTTTAAAACACAAAATTCTCCCAAGATCTCCATTGTTACTTAAATTCCTTCTATTGTTCTTTAAATAAATATAAACACAAAACGGCATAAACTCATTTCTCTTATAGCTGTTACACAGCTCTAAAACAAAAGCAGATTTACAAATTTGACACGAAAGTACAAATCAATAAAATTCAAATTAACAGCATTAATTTATTAATGTACTGCAGTAGATAATGCAGTTGGCTGAAACTAAATCACCACTTTGAGTTTGCAAAAATATTAGCCATACTTT